AGGAGGAAAATGCTCAGCTCGAGGTCCACATTCGGGACTGGTACAGGAAACAAGCTCCTAGCATCTCAAAGGACTACAGCTCCTACTACCAGACCATTGAGCAGCTCCAAAACCAGGTAGGACAGCCCCAAGTAACGTGACTCCATTTCTCACATGCTCTCTTCACTGCATACACACACTGCTCCATGCACCAGATGGAAGAACCAAGGCCTTCCCTCATAAGCAGCTTTCATCGGTACCATGAACACAGGGTAAACAGATGGTGAAGAAGCAGGTTGCAGGAAAAGAGCTGAATACACAGTAGACACATGGAGAACTCTCTAACTCGAGAAAGAGAAGTAAAGAGTAGAGACTTCGGGGGATGGTATCTGATAGCCCGAGTTTCCTTGAAATTTGGAGTATGACCTGCTCATATGGCCTCTGCATGACTGCAGGAAACTATTCCAAGACCCCAGACAAAGCCCTGCCAAAGCTTTGGGTCTTCTTTTTCTTGTCCTGGATGTCCTGAACACAGAAACTCCTCCCCATCTTCCCTTCTGCAGATCATTTCAGCCACTGTGGACAACAACAGAATGCTTCTGGACATCGATAACAGCAAGATGACTGCGGATGACTTCCGGATGAAGTGAGTACCTCTCTGTAAACCCTTCATGTCTCAAATCCTGTTCTTAATCTCAGGAGACAAAGCAGCATTGCCCTGAGTTGTGGTACTGCATCTTCTGTTTTAGTGGGATACTGACCTTGGCAAGATGTGTGCTGTTGATTGTCACCATCTCACGTCCCCATTTCTCTGTCTCTCTTGTCTGTGGTAAAGGTATGAGAACGAGCTGGTCATCCGTCAGACTGTGGAGGCTGACATTAATGGCTTGAGAAATCTCCTGGATGACCTGACCCTGGTTAGGTCTTCACTGGAATCCGAGCTGGAGTCCCTGAAGGATGAGCTGATTGCTCTGAAGAGAAACCACGAAGAGGTACGACCCAGTGCTACCCAGTGTCCAAGACACAGTCCTTTAATTCCTCAGGACTTATGTAACTCCCCAAAGTTACATAGCAAGTAAATTCAGCCCTATGCCCTGTGAATGTCATTCCTTTGCACCTTGATACTGCTCGGGCCCCTGTCCCCAGCCCCAGCAATGATTTGTGATCTTTGCTCCTGTCCTGGACTCTGCAGGAAATAAGGCAGCTGCAGTCTCTGTCTGGTGGTGACGTGAGTGTGGAGGTCAATGCCGCCCCTGGACAAGACTTGACAAAGATCCTGAACGAGATGAGAAACGAATATGAGCAGATCATCGAGAAGAACCGCAGAGAGGTTGAGCAGTGGTATGAAGTCAAGGTATGAAACCGCGACAGCCTGGGACAGGGTGCAAGGCTTTGGCTCCAAGGGGGAGGCTGCTCAGCTGCACCTCCCCTGCACGGCTGGGGAACGGGAAGGAAAAGGCTGCTGGGGAAGGGCTGCAGGGGCAGAAGGAGAGCAGCCCAGGTCTGGCGTGCAGAGGTGGG